TACTCAATATTTCATTAAGTTAAGGTCCCATTATACAATTTAATTATTGTCCATAACTTCGGACAGATTTTAAATATAACTATTGATTGATTGATAAAAAAAAAAAAAAAAAAAAACATTTCACGAAGGACGTTATTGGTATAAGCGCCGCAATTTAATTAGTGTTTAATTTAAAATTAAATAGCATATGGTAAATAATTAAAAGTATATTGATTCCCATGCATTTCCGTGGAGCCTGCAAACCGATTAAAACTCATATTGTCGTACATATTTGTCTTTTAATTTCGACATGCGCTTTAATTAAACAAAAAGGGGTGGATGATAAAAAAGAGCATAAAGCCCGCAGACAGACAAAGGAAAATGCGAAGGCGAAACAACGCTGCATGCACATAAACAACAACGAGGCAACAACACCATTGTCAGCAACAATTATCCGGGCAGGTGCTGAGAACCCACATAGCGATTTATGTGGAAGGAAGAGCTCAGGGAATGTAGAAGATACGCGTTACTTAAGCGGTTACCTGATAGAAAAGGAGGTGTTGGGGGGCGTGGAAAACGCATCCGAGAAACAATGGAAAAAGTTGGCAAGTGGCAATAGGGTTGGGGCATGGAATGGAAAGTGTGTAAGCCGATTGCCATGGTGCGAGTGGAAGGAAAACACAAGTTCAGGTGGCAGATAGCGAAGGGAAAGCGCCAAAAATCCTATTTATGTCAATTCGTAAAGTTAAGTGGAAAAAGAAAAACTCAACTTCAAGGTTTGTCGAAACAAGACAGCGTGGAATTTTTGAAAGAATTATATTTAGATAACAAATTAAATCAGTTCTTTTTTGTTTTTTTTTTCAAGGATTTCACAAGAATATCTGTGAAATCCCTTTTTCTTAAAAATCAACTGCACAACTTTAAAATGTTAACATCAACTTTGACCTCAGCTGGGATTCAAGTGCAAGAACTTAAAGCAGAGGGGATTGTATGCAAACATTTACACTTGCTCAGGGCAGATTCGAGGAGAGTCCCCCAGAAGAACAAGGACACCTACCAGCAGGATCCTGTAGCAGGAGCCGGTGGCTGGCGGCAGGAACACTTAAGCCCAAATGGCAACACAAACACACGTGCTAGCAAGGCCGAGGGATGACAACGCAGACACTTGAGCAAATGCGTTCGGCTGTATCCTGAGTCCTGCCACGTCCCGCTAATGTTCTACCCCCTCTCTCCAAGAGCCAGGCAATCTACGAGACGAGTTTTATCCTCCAAAATTTTCACTCTCAAGATATATTTTTGTGTGTAGGAGAGCTCGATATTTACGCATTTATTTATGCTGCTCTTTATTAGCTTTTTATCGTTCATTTATTTTGCTCGTTATGTTCGCGTCACCATATTTGCGATTACGTCTGGCCTTCTGCCTCCTCCGCCCCATCCTATGTACGAGCAAGTACCTATATGTATTTATTTTTAGTGTTATTTTTAGAATGTTCGACAGCAAAGCGATAAGAGGGCAAACAACTGCAAATAAACGAATGCGAAAACTTGATAAAGACATCGATCATGTTCTGCAGAAAATGTAATCCAAATGGAATGCAAATTAATCTGTTGTCCCTCAAAGCCTTGCAAAGCCTTAACCTGATTGATAAGCATCAGCATCATTATCGTCGCCACTCGGCCAAATTGGAATGTAAAGTGTAACCAAAGCCGTTGGGAAGCAATTTCCCAAACCCGACACCTGCTCCTCCTTTCCAGCTGCCCCTACTGGCACCTCTTAAGCGAATTATGTAGCTCTTCGGGGGCTCCAGTATCAGCACCCTCTGTACACCATCCTAATACCGAAATTCAATTAACATTTTTAATTCCCTCACTTTGCACTACTTAAGAACACCCCGACGGGTCTTGGCGCCCTCTTCCCTCGGCATTATAAGACAATGTCAAAGGGAGGAATATTATTAACAGAGCTTTATATTTAGTAACACCAGTCTGCAGGGGAAATTAAGAAAAAAAAGGTCGATGAAGAGTGGGCTCATTACCATGGCTATTTAAAAATGAAAACAATATATATATTTTTTAAAGGCGAATTAAACGAAAGCGTGTGCACAAACATTAATTTGAAATGGGTCGAACATTGCCCAGCTGTACAATGAACCCTCTCAATTAAAAACATTTCAGCTTTACTGGGCGGACACTAAATAAACGCCTTTCCACACTCGTTGCCAATGTGTAACTCTTTGCCGTCTTTCAATTACTTCCACTATATACCGACCACTGACAAATTTGCTTGGTTTTATTCTTCTGGAATTCCATATCCATTGTATTGCAATGGCGCACCCACACACACACCCCCAGATGCACTGAACACACACCATAATCACACTGTCCCATCCACAATGACCATGCAGTTCGGGAGGGCCATTTGCAATGGGAAATTTATTTTTAGCCTGACAACGGAAGACACACCGAACAATGACTTTTTTATGCTCTGCGGAGGAAAAGAATTCGTATGAAAATTTTTGCGTAATAACAACCCAAAACTGGCATTTAAAAATTACCATGTAATGCGCATTAAGTAGCTAGGTTATTGCCACAGAATCATTTGAAGTAAAACCTATAAATAGCCAACTATAATAATAAATACAATAAACATTTTTACATCATATTTAAAATAATCTTTTTTCTAAATCAGGGGGAATGATCAGTTCCTTATCAATGAAGAAACAATATAAACAAGCTATTATTTATCAGTAGCAGGTTGAATAAGTTTAACTACAGATTTAACCTTTTGGGTCAAACGAGAAAAGCCCAAGACTTTTATGTAAGAAGTATATGTATGTATATACCCATGCCCATAAGAGGCAATCAGTCTTGCGATAGGAGGGAACCCTCCGGCGACCTTGATCCGAACACAATTTGGCCCCTCTTATTAAGACGTCGTGTGTATAATGTACGAGTGTTTTAGATTAATTAAAGCAGTCGAGCCAAGCCAAACAGCAGCACCCCAGAATCGAGAATCAAGTGTCGAAACCCCACTACCCCAATACCACTATATTTGATTAGACATAAATGGACGTAGGTGGGTTCCATTTATGTCTAATCAAATATATGTGTGTGTATATATCGATACTACAAAGGTTGAGGGGATGCACCCAGTGTGTTCTAAAAGTGGGTTTGTGTCGGTGGGGGGTTGTTGTTTTCTTTTGTTTTGTATGAGAATGTGCGAAATACATTAGCCGCCTCGAGCCATAATTTACGAGCGGTTGGCAAATAAATTCAAATAAAAGAGCCAACAAACAACAAACAAAATCGAATATCTCACGATCCGTGGTCACTTGATGCCGGTACCTCATAAATGGTATTCATAATTCTCACCCGCTCCACCAAACTTTCGGCACGGCGCGCGAAAGAGGCGCGCTTATCGGCAGCCATCGCGGACATGATTCGGGATCTGGTTCAGGATTATATGGGGGATTATGGGGATTTTTTGGTCAGCGGCGACACACAGAGCGAGTCCGCAGCGGTGGATATCACGCGAGTACGCAGCTGAAAGTAAACAAAAGTCTATATTAACTATTGTCTTATCTAAGGCACTCCATCGATAGGGGTTTTCAAGTTCCTAAGGCCAAAATAAATATCACAAGGTGTGCTAAGACGAAGCATATGCTAATATGCTTAGGGTTTTAACTAAAACATTAGAACAAATAATAACTACATATGTATTTTTGTTTTAAGCATATTGAAATGTGTAATACTTATTGTTATTTCAACAAATTTTAATATTTATCTTTTGTACTCGGACAACAAGAAGCTGCCAACACGAGCCAAAATAAATCCCTGACAAATCACTTGAGGTCTTGGTCCCCAAGGCGGCGAAAATGTTTCGCGTATTTTTATTAATATTTTTGGCGGTCACAATGAAAGACAAGCAATAATCATCGACTTGGCGCAAAAATCCAATTAAATGCTATGCACAACTTATTTTTCGAACAAAAACAGGGCGGTTTTTTTGGGAAATTACCAAATTTATCCGTAAAGAAAATGAAGCACAACTCAGGCACTTTGAACGATAAAACACTCAGCTGCCAAGCTCGGCATAAATATTCGCGAAAAAATTATCAACAACTGGCATTAAAAATGTGAAGGAAACGAATCTTCGGAACCGAGGCGATCTCATGCAATAACGCGTCCAAATCGGAGGAATACCGCCGTAGAACTGATGACACATACGACCCGTATGCTCGACTTTTGTAGCTTGGCGAGCATTAAGAGAGTGTGTGAGTGAAAATACAAAAATTCATTATTTTATTTTTAAACGTTCGCTAGCCCTCTCGTTCTCCATTGTTTTCTGTTTTCTTAACGGATTGATTTATGGATTTAAATGCAACAGGTGCCACGCGCACACTGACCCTTGGAAATAGTCCAGACTTAAAAAAAAAAAGACTACCGGAACACACCCACTATTCCTATTTTAGAACAGATTGAAGAACAAAGCTGCATGTTATCTCCATAATTTTAGCATAAGAACAAGGTGGACTCAATTATGCTAATAACCGATTGACGTACTAGAAAAACCATTGAAAATATAAATATAGTTTAGCCTATTAGATAATAGAATCTGAGAGCTGAGTACTATAGATCGTACGTTGGTGGCTCTCAGTAAAACTGTTCAAAGATTTCTAAACATTTTTTTTACTTTGGTAGAGTGTTTTTATATATATATTAAACTAAATCAAAGATTAACTATTTTGAAGTAAATAATCAAATGTAGTAATGATATATGAATGATTAAATATTGGTTCTTCTTTCGAGGAATACTTAATCTTTTAAGGATTACACGAAATTATGTTCTCTATCGTAATATATTTATGATAATTAATATGTGAAATTTTAAAATTTTATCAATAAAGTTTAAATTGTCGCGCCCTGTGGAAAGTATCTGAATGATGTTGCAACGGTATTTTTACTGCAGGTACGGCCACACTACTGAAGTGGGGACTTTTCAACACTGTTTTGGGGGGATTTCTAAACCGTTATCTGGCAACACTATTTACATATATATCCAGCAACTATTTATTAAAAATAAGCAACGACCTGTGACAACGAATAACGAATAGCTCAACGAAATGGCAACGCGCGGCGGTCCTATGGTCTCCGGCACCGATGGAAACGATTTCGAGTTCAGGCAGCGCGTAGCTGGCACATATCAAATTAGGTTAATAACACTCGACCACTAGGACAAATACCCTTGCCACGGCTCCCTCCCACATGGGGCATTAACGTGGGGCAAATTATCTAATTACTTGGCAATAGCCAGCACTGCCCCACAGTAAAGGCCTGGGAAAACGCGACCTGGAGCACCCACGTCCGCAGAGTGGCCACCCACCTCATGGATGGGCAAACTGCCAGCAAGGCAACTTCTGTCCGCTGGCTGCAGTAATGGGATTCAGTTTGGCTGCGGCGGAAACGACATCTAAATCAATACTAAATCTGTAACCTTTTTTCTTTCAGTCTACTGAACAAGTCTCGCTTGAAGTACTGCATTTTCTTTCACGCCCTGCTCTTCTTCGTAATGCTGGCCAAGCTCACGTCGGACATACTGGACCGGCTGGATATATTTGTGCTGGAGATCGAGGAACTGGAGATACCGCCGCCGTTGTGGTGGGAGTACGTCTGGGCTGGTTCGTTGCTCACCTCATTTTTGGGTCTGTCAGCGGCGCGTGGAAACAAGGTGCGCGAAATGCAGAAATACATGATTGCTATCCTGGTGTTTGCGGTCCTGCCACTTTTCTACTGCTTTGCCTACTACTTTTCTGACGTTTGGGAGTTTGCCACGCTGGACAAGTCCGTGGATTTGGATGAGACTGATATTTTCGTGTGGCGTGTAAGTGGATTTGAGATTCGAAACTCCAGTAACATTTATTAAATCGATTTTTGTTGCAGGGCTACCCGTACGGAGTGTTCTGGTATGCATTCTGCTTTGTAGGCTTCCAGGTGCATGGATTCACGCTGTACTTCGCCTACAATCTAGTCAAGGCCTGGAAGGCCCGCACCGCCACACGAAAGTTCCAGTAGGAACCTTCGGCGGAGCTCCAGTCGCCGAGAGAAATCCTAATACTCGCCAAACTATTAGACGTCAAGAAGCAAGGAGTAGCAAGGGTAGCAGAGAGAAGCTGTAGGGCTAGTTGTAAATAATTTGGAAAAACGAAACACGAAACTAACTCGATACACTAGTGCACAAAATGCGTAATGAAACTATGATAAAATTTTAAATTAAAGTTATGCAGCTGTTAAGGTATCGCACATTTTAGTCATACAAGAAGAGAAAGCATATTGTCGGGACAAAACGAAGCGTCAACGTTAAAGTTATTGTTAGTTGAAAGTTAAACCGTTCAAAATAATTAACTAGACTTATCCATATACACCCATAGACCTATATATATATACACATTCATACACACGCAGCCTTGTGAGGTCAACTTAAGACAAGAAAGCAACTGAAGCCACCAAATTTCCCCGAGTCGGAATAAAAACAAAAACCAACCTAGAAAATCACTTCATTTTTGCTTACTTACATTTCGACGTGCCTCGTGTTTGTTAGAAACGTTTTTTATATATTTACACATGAATATATACACATCTATCATCTATGTTGTCTGCGGATGAGTACTTCCTCGCTTAGTTTATAGTTGGTTTTCTTTTTTACATTTTTTTTTATTGTTTTTCATAAAGGTTTTATTTTAAATTTTTTTCATTTTTGAATGTTACTGAAATTTTTTTGATCGCACAGAATCACTCTGTGTGCCGTCTTGTGTCGAATTTTATAGAAACTGCCCCCAAACTATTTACAACTTTCTATCACATTTTACACATAAAAATCAAATGCAATTTGAGTGTTGGAGCAAAGTTCATCTATTTTCTAATCGTCAATAATATTGTGTAATGACAAGCAAGTCGAAAAACTAAACTGAGAATTGAATTTAAATGTAATAATGTTTTTTAAATCGTAATTTATTATTCGAATTTTTAAGTAGTTTTTTATAAATCGATCAATAAAAATACATATATATTTGTTCTTCTGAGTGGGTTAAAATATGCCTTTTTATTTGTGGTGTTGGGGAAAACCATTAATTCGACGAAGAATGTCCCCCGGGCTGATTATCTATTTTTAAATACCTTATTCACATGTCGATAAATATTTTGATAATTTTCATTGTCAATATTCTTATTATTTTTGTCGGTAATCCGCAATAAGATAAAAACGCCTAAAAGTGTAAAATTTGTATGGTAGAAAATAAAAGTCCATGCTGTTTTAAAGCTTAAGACTCCACATAGTGTAATTATTTCAGGATTTAGCCTTTAAATGTTTTCAAATTATTTATAGAAAAATATAAAAAATTCAGGGGTGCAGGACCCAAGGTTTCCTCATTAAAAACACCACCGAAAGCCGACCATCCCTTCGCCCAACCATCACTTCGTTGCAATTCGGCTGGCAGGACGTGCTGGCCACAACAATCCGGCCATTTAGTGACCATTTGTGCATCGAGGCGAGCGGAGGAGCAGCAACAGCCTCGTCCTTATTGCAGTTGAAAATTGCGCAATTGTTTACAGCTGGCCGAAAGAGAGAGCAAGGACCTCGAAGAGAGCAAAAAGCTTAAGAGCACCAGAGCTTTTTTCGCAGCATCCTTTCCGTCGATACATCTCCCTCGAAAGTCCTCAGAGTCTCCATTTTGATGTTGCCTGTGTGAAGAACAGATGGAAAAAATTCGAACACACCATTTCGGACCAAAGTAAACAAGAAAAAACATCCAAAAAATTTTATTTAGAAAATTCCAAATTTTCGTGAAAATTGAAAACAACTCGAGGAACAGGATGCGGGGCGAGGAGACGACCTACAGGCGCACCACGCGCGAAAAGATTGTCCTGCGAGGGAACACAACCATACGCACCGTGGACTCTACTGCCACATACCTGCCCATGATGACTCCAGCGGGGTGAGTTCTAAAACGGGGTAGGGTTGCAACTGGCTGGGGGATGGGGAGCTACAATTATAGGCGTGCCGGGCCACTTGAGCGAGCCTTGACTGTCGTCGCTCCGGCATCGATTTTTATCTAGACTGCAGCGGATTTCTGTATCGCATCCTTGTGAATCAGATATATTAGATATCTGCGCACCCAATGTGACCTTCGTTTGTGGTTTGCCTATGAGTTTTCGCAGTTCTCACAAGGGATTACATCGTTGACAATATCCTCCAGGTCTCATAATATCCCTGGTCTCAAAAGACTGGTGGTAGGAGATTGCAGGCCAACTTAAGAGCCGGCTTTCTCCGCATGCAAGCCCGCCATTAAATAACATTGCCGGCAAATTATTAGAAACCCACTGCTATTCAAGTGGATAAATACAACATGGCATACATAAGTGTGTGTAGCGCCTTTCCTTCCCAGAAATCGATGGAATCTTCGACTCGAGTCCACGACTACTGGTTGTAGCGTGCATTGACCAGAGTCCACCTAGAGTTGGGTAACACGAGTCCTAGAATGTAACTCGGGTCCACACGAAGCATGAATATGCTTCCCAATACTCTACTCAAGATTGGTGTAATACAGCTGGGATATCTTGTAATACCTTATATCTTAAAAACATTATTATATTTTTCATTTCTTTCAAAAGTGGAGCTAATTATAAATTAAGAAATAGTTGTACTGCTTTTTACTCTTAATTTCTTTTTAAAAATTAAACTTTTTCAACAAACAACTTGGGTATTATATTTTCAAAAAAGTTAGGATGCAAGATATGGATATAATTTGAAACCGAGTAAGGTATGTTTAAGCCAAGCAATCAAATCGTTTGTGGTTTATTTTTCTCAAGATATGGTGCCCCCTCCATGGGAATAACCATGATTGAAACCGCCCCCAAGCAGCGCCGGGCGAAACTTCCTTTAACCTCAATTCGCATTCACACAAACAACACCAGCTCACAGCTACGGGTTAGGAAAACTACCCGGTATGTCGTATACGAGCCGTAGTCAAAGGTTCTGCTTTGTTGTGGTCTGTGCGTCGTCCAGTCGAGTGGTCAGTCAGTTGGTCCGCAACCCTTGAGCCGTCCGGTAGATACCGCGCTTTGGGTCAGGGTTTTTTTGTTTCCCAGTCTTGTGTGAAGTGCCCGAATCGAACTGCCCAGGCGGAGACTGTCGCCGGGGAGGGAAAACAAGTTTCCGTTCGAACTTTTACGTGTGTGATTTTTAAATTCCTAGTGAAGGAAGTGTCTGACTGTCTTTTTGTTGTCGTCCTGACACGGGCACGGCGCCATGTTCAACACCAGTGCCCAAAATTGGTTTGGCATGGGCCAGACATCGATGGCTCCGGCCGCCGGTGTGGCCCAGTTGGTCAACAACAATGCGGGAATGTATAACCAGCAGCAGGTGCAATCCCAGCATCAAAATCCTTTCATGCGTCAGCGATCCTTAACCAGCTCGAATCCTGCCTTGGAGCGGACAAATGCCCTGGCCATACGGCCACAGTCGCCACCGAATGTCCAGGTGGAATATGAAGTGGCGGTGCCCTTCGTCTCCACCTATAGACATACTCCATATCATTCTTTATGGGATCTGCATCAGTGGTAAGGGTTAAAGCTTAATCTTAAGGGTTAATCTTAGAAATGGTTGGGAATTCAAAGAATACAATGTTTAGGATGAAAATCATTTAGATTTGGAATATCATACATTAATTAAAAGGTCCTTTATCATATATTATAGTGCAGGATATGCTTGTATCGATCTTTTCATTAAAGAACTTTAAGTGTCTTTATTCCTTATTTAATTACTTGAATATCGCCCCATTATTAAACAAAAAAAAGGAAGCTAACAAGAATTATTTCTGATTTGTATACGATGCAGGTGTTCCCAAGAAGTACAACCTGATGGCCCCCTGCCTTGAATCGCATATTTCTGCCAGTCATAATTGCCATTCGCTGTAATTTGCATGGGGCAAAATGTAGTTTTTACTGTGCCAATGGCTTTCTCAAGTAGGAATTAGCATAAACACCTCTTCGCGACACGAATTTTAAAGAGAACATCATAACTAATAGTCCAAGGACTGCCTCCGTACGACTCCTAGCTCGAGCCAGAGTCCTTGTAACACTTTGCCAATCAATCAATGGCTCAATTAAAATGCATGTAATGCCTAGATTAGGGCACATTGATACTTGTGAAGTATATAGGACAAATAGGCTGGACAATCAAAGGCTTCATGGTGCTGGGTAACTTATTGTTGGCCTAGTTAGTCGCTTGGCTAATCAGGAATCGTGGGCGAGCACATAGAAAACATTAACCCAAATTTGAACGAGTACAGCACACAATATAAACACCAAGCGGATGTGGCAGGAGCCGGGAAACTGGGCCGGGAGTTATAGCCAAGCTGCTGCCAACTTAATTATCCTGGCGTAAAAAATATGGCGGCATATTTCTCGGCATCGAGATTTACAATGTTGTTTGGTAGCTGGAATGCCTATAAACGCTTTAATGCCCCCGAATGACGCATGCAATGCCAAAAAAATAAAGAAAAACTATTCAAATGCGAATAAAACAGTTAACAATTGTCGCCGGCACGTCAATAACCTGGCCAGGAGCCACCTGGGTTATTGAACCCACCTGCCGTCAACCAGCAGTTTTGTATGAATACCCGCCCCCTTGGGAGGCGCCACGAACTCTTTATTTCCTAGAAATTCCCGAGCATAGTCCGTCGGGGGGAAGGGGATAACGGGAAGGAAGAAGTAAGGACTATCGCTAGGGCTAGCTAATATTAGACGGCTAGACACGAGGAATCCAACCGATATATACATAGCATACACCAGGACACGCAAAGTACTTGTCCACGGCTGATAAAGCAAATGACCTTTGTGACATGGCCAAGTTGAATGGCAAGCGCCATCAGGCCAAAAGTTTATAGATAGAAGACTAAAAAGGATATCCGGCGGATGTTCATTAGTCTAGACTTTAAATTCTAGACTAGGATATAGACTATTAAAGCTGTTGTTTCAAAATGTATTTAAGCTATAAATAATCTTTACTATTATTTGCAGTTCATCCACACCTCCAACTAGCCTTTCTCACATGGCTCGGATGATGGACTCCCTCATCCTGGACTCCCTCTCGCCATTTGCCTTCACCAAGATCACGGCCACCAGTCGTCCCCCGCGAAATGCCAATGGCGTGAAAAAGCCCTCGTCGGAGAGCGGACACAGCTCCACAGCAGAGCGCCCTCACCGACCCATCAACAACCTGGGCCCGAATGCTCCCGGAGGATTGGGCATCGGTGGAAGTGTCCCCTTGCGTGGCAAGCAGCGTCTGCCCACTCAAGGTAATGTAAGGGGGAAAAATTGAGGGGCATGATTACTAATAAAAAGCAGTCTCCGTCACAGAAGTGGCCCCTCAACCACGGCCCAACCAGACGGCTCAGATGCCTTTTCCCTCGCAGCAGCAGGACAATCGCTGGGTGTCCTCGCTGAGACGGCGAGACCCCGAGCTGCAACCCACACTGCCCTCCATTAGCAACAACACGAACAATAGCCTAAGCCAGAGTCATCATGGCAGTGCGGGGAATGTGGGCTTGTCTGGAGCACCAACGGCAGCCAATAGTATGGGCGCTATGCGGCTCGGAAGGCCCGGAAGAGCCTCTGCATTGACGGCTGCCGTTAGAAAAAGCCGATCCGTGGAAAGGTTAAGGGCTAGAAAGCTCAGCACCAATACCCAACTGACGCTCAAACACAAGCCGGTGAAGAAGAACTCCCTGGATGAGAACTCCAATTCGGATGATCAGGATGCCACCACATCGCTGGAGGATAACTCGCATGCTCAGTCCCTGTCCACCAATCACAATACACCCAAGTGCTCACCAAAGACCAAGGTCAAGCACTTCTCGCCCCTGGGCTACGAGGGTCATTTAGTGGACACCCTCGAGAAGGATATACTGCAGCGACATCCGTGCATCAAATGGACTGATGTGGCCGGTCTAAATGAGGCTAAGACCATACTGCAGGTTGGTCTTGGACTTAGGATTAACTAAACTAAACCTTATAAATAATATATTTTATTATTTTATTTCACAGGAAGCGGTAGTACTTCCAGTTATCATGCCGGAGTTTTTCAAGGGAATCCGCCGACCATGGCGCGGAGTTCTTATGGTGGGTCCTCCAGGAACTGGCAAAACCATGCTGGCCAAGGCGGTAGCAACCGAATGTGGCACTACGTTCTTTAATGTATCCTCCTCCACATTAACCTCCAAATACCGGGGTGAGAGCGAGAAACTAGTGCGTCTGCTTTTCGAAATGGCCCGCTTCTACGCACCCAGCACAATCTTTATCGATGAGATCGATGCCTTATGTGCCTCCAGGGGCAGCGACTCGGAGCACGAGGCCAGCAGGCGCTTCAAGGCGGAGCTGCTCATTCAAATGGACGGACTGAACGCCACCAAGGAGGAGGAAAAAGTGATTATGGTGCTGGCGGCCACTAATCATCCCTGGGATATTGACGAGGCATTCCGTAGACGCTTTGAAAAGCGCATCTACATTCCTCTTCCGAATGGTAAGGATAAAATAATTACAAATAATTATAAATAGAATAATATTTCGAATCCTACTTCTACTTGAAGAGGAAACTCGTTCAGCGTTGCTTAAGCTCTGCCTAAAGGATGTGTGCTTGTCGCCGAACCTCAACACCTCACTAATAGGTGACGAGCTGCAAGGATATTCCGGGTCGGACATAAGCAATGTGTGCCGCGATGCCTCCATGATGCCCATGCGACGCCTCATCTCCGGTCGCACTCCTGATCAGATCAAGCAGATTCGGCGCGAGGAAGTGGATTTGCCGATAACGCTGCAGGACTTCCAGGATGCCAGGCAGCGAACCAAAAAGTCTGTCTCCGCCGACGATGTGGCCCGATTCGAGAAGTGGATGGAGGAGTATGGGTCCTGCTAGTTGTACGGGCTGCTGGCCCAGCACCCTTGATAAATGTATCCCATGTGTACTTCCATGCCTCAATTGCAATAATTTTCAGTCTGTATAAATCGTATTCGTTAGCTTAAAATGTTGTTTTTATATACGCTTAATTGCTCAAGTGCCCCACGCCCAGCATTGCCCCTCGATCACGTGTGCACCGGATAATTATAATATCTTATACAATATATCCACTATACACAAATGTACTTTTTAATATTTATTCGAAAGAATCCTACTTTAGGCTTACAGCAAACAAAATGTATTTTGTAATCAAAATATTTAGAAAACTGAAAACGAAATAAATTACTCAACACCCCTTGGCTCCAATGATGGAACTTAGGCTTTCAGTTTGGCAATGGTGCTCTGATAATCTTGTTCCACGACTGTATACTCCTCTTGTAGTTGATCCATTCGCTGTTTCATGGTGGGCAGGCGGGCCCTTAGCATCTCTGTGTCCATCTTGTAGCGCTCCATTTTCTTGAGGTCTTTTAGCTGCTTATAGTATACGGCGTTCAGACGTTTCTTGACCTCCAACCGATAGGCCCTGTACTCCCTTTCATCCTTCAAGTTAGTATAGTAAAGGCGCAATAGCTCGTAAACTTTCCGCACCTGGCGGGGATTTAGTTTAAAAGTTTCGCGTGCCTCCCGAATCATCTCTTTTGTGAAGCCCTTTGAAATGACATCGGGTGAAAAAGATTTCAAGTCCTTGCAAAAGCGAGCATCGACAAAATTGCGAAGGCGCTGGAAATCTTCAGACGGATCTTCAACTGTAATGTCCACCACGTTCTTCTGAGACTGGTAGAACTTGTAAATGGTTTCAACCAGCTTAGTGGCAAGGCCCAGCTTTTGAAAGGGCGGCAATATCAGCATCTGGCTAATCCTTGGGCGCTTATTTTGGGGGTAAGCGTAGTATTCGTAAACGGTAGTATAGCCCGCAGTGGCGTACTGCCACTGACCGTCGTTATTCTTGTACTTCTCATAACTTGAATAGAGAAAAAATATATGCAAAAGACAATATAAATGCTAAAAAGGTCTGTGCTTATTTACCAAACAAAGAAGGACCATTGTGGGTCATCGGTGTCGATGTACGAAGCTGCATCTACGAACCACAAAACAAAGGTCTGCAGACGTGAAAAGAACTTCAGGAATGACGAGTTTTTGTAGTCGCATTGGTATATCTCAAAGAGACGCTCGCTTCCGTCGTCCGATTGGCGAGTATATTCATTAACCTTTTCACCGAAGGGCTGAAACTTGTCGGCTTTGTCCAACGTCTTCAGGAACTCGTCGAGGTTGATGAAATAGCATCCGTCTGGCAGACTCTGGGCAATAGTGCTGACAACATCGTCAGCCTTGATTTCTCCACCAGATATCTCATTCACTCGTTGTCCATACGTGATTCCAAGGTAAATGTGAAGAGGTCCGGCTGTATAAAGCACTCGCACGTGCAAATCCTTGTAACCGAATATGGTCTCAGATTCGCCGAAAATCTGATGGGCCATGGCGGGGTGGAAAATCAAGGCATCGTTGTTTATATCTCCCTTGTCCCGAACTGTTTCGATAATACAATCATTGCAGGGCTGTACTAAGGATACCTTTAGGCACTACTTACTCAGCTTAAAGTCGACGACTTCCAAGGCATCCAATACCAAGTCTTGATATTCCTGAATTTGGGCCATTTTGGAATTCCTTCTAAGCTACAGAGAGGTCTCAATTTGGCGCGCAAATGTGCTAGCTGTGAGAGTTTTATGTTGTTAAAACGTCCCCTTCCTGGTCGAAAAGCTTTATGTTATAAATCTAATGAAACTAGTGACTTATTACACAGTTTATGGGCAAGTTTCATAAAAAAAAACTCTCTGAATGTCGGGGTTTAGCGAAATTTTCGCGGCTAAACAAAGACGAAACCGTAAGTGCTGGAAAACGAATTTATTGATACGGCATAATAGAGCTGCCACCATTCGATAAGCTATCGGTTACATTAAATTCTCTAAATATTTATTATTTTTCTATATATTTATTTATTTTAAATATCTATTAAAAAAGTATATATTTTTAACTAAAACAAAGGTTTAACATCCAAAAAAGAGCCGATACCCTATTTAGCTTAAATTTAACTGGTCCCATTGTTAACTTTCTATCGATATATCGGACAGTGATGGTTGTTTTACTGTTCGTTATAATGGAGATTTTCTTTTCGAAAATGAGCCGTAGGTAAATGTTTAAAAATCGCATGGCAAACTAAACTTGCGAGGAAATCTGGGAATTCATTCTTAAAAATAGCACTTTCATAAATAAATTTATCAATTTGGAAAAATCTTTTTCAGTTTACAAATACAGACACAGAAAATTAACATAGATGATTTTTTTTAAATTTATTTCAAAATGTTAAATTTGATGATTTTTTTTTTGTATATAACTACGAAATAGGAAATTTTGATTTATTGTTCGGCTCTGCATAATTCAAACAGCATTAACAGCATTATGTATGTATATATTTTATAGAGTCAGAGATTATTCCTTCAATGCATTACAAGCATTTGGAAAAAATGGTATAATAAATACCCAATTAATGCACTTATATCATGCTACTTTAGTTTAAACGTTTTCATACACCTGAAATAACAATAAAGCGATCCAATTAGAGCTCGCTGACCAAGTGGAAAAATATTAATCCACAGCTAATTAAACAAGCACAGAGGAGCAGCCAGCTACGCAGTTCCTCCCTTAAGAAAAGCAGATGGAGCTCTTATTAAATTATAATTCTAAATTTGAAAAGCGAACAAAGTTTGTCAGATAGCCAGTCCCCCGGGAAGCAGGATAACTTTTCTGCTTAATTATCGATTGCCACATGGCGCCAAATGAACTTTAAAAGGTATACCCTTAGAGATTGGGGGGCTATTATGAGGGCGTATCTAAGAAGGTCAGCCTTTTTTCAAATGAATTTCATTATAGGTGGTCAATTATGTAAAAAATACATTCTAACGGACAGTTTTCATTTCAACCGGAACCCCTCCGAATTCCATGATACTTATTGCTAATTTTAGACACACTCCATTAATTTGAAGCTCTGGGAAACGGAATTTAAGTTAATAGGTGACTAATACAGCTCCTAGAAGTCAGCCCCAGTGCCATGGAGCCAGTCTAATCCACATCAGAGCCATAAACAAAATTCAAGGCAACAGCCCTGAGCCAGACACTCTGCACTCGCGTTGGGGTTGCAGTAATTTAAATTCGCCTCGACATTTTTTAGTGTGTCACAGTGCCAAGGTGTTCGAAAGCTAACACTCAGTCTCAACCTCTCGAAGAGCTCCGGGGGCGAAGTCGTCCCATCTTTGGCTTTGTATTTCGGGGAGACATCAACAGCTCCTTTAAAGCTATCTCTCGGAGCCTTGCCACCTGTTATGTCTCAGGAGCAACAGGAGGCCATTCATAAAGGACGTTACTTTGGAGCCCAAAAAGAGAGCTTCAGGCCCCATTAAGGGGTAGCAGTTGAACTCACTCGGTTTGAGCCCTTTTTAAATGCGCATGCTCGTCCACAAAAGCTCCTTTCAGATGAGAAAAGTTTTTGGCTAAAACATTGCTGCACAGAAACATGGCTGAAACTCTAAACCGGCGTACGATTTGAATGTTTACTTATTTCATATCAAACTTTTAGCTAAATAGTTATAATTAAAAATTTAAAATTTAGTAATACTACTAATATGTTATAACGTTACCTAATATTTTTACCTTACTGTAGTTCTACTTTCAAAAACACCAAGAACAGAAACTACTATTATTAAAAATATAAAAGATCTTTATAAATATATAAATAATTTTACTCCATAAAAAATTTAAATTTAGAGGTTATAAGAAAATTATTCAAGCCTTCATTTATGGTATTATTTTTAACTTAATAAACAAATTACATCAAAAAACAGTATTAAAGACCGTAAGGGTTGAAATTTAAAATTCTCTTTCATACATTTACCGACCAAAATATTATTTTCTTTATAAATATTCATAAAAAAACAAACCTGCTTTTTGGGGGATGGGATGGTAAGGGGGGATTGTGGCTTTCGAGCACATGTGGACTGTTTCCAGGCACATAAAAATGTTATTTATATGCTGATGATTTTTGCGAGTCCATTTTTGGAACGCACCCGGCGCCACGGATTGGTTTCATGGTTAACCTTAACAATCCTTTTCCGTGACACCGTATCAGCTTTTCGAGTTGCTGCAACAGTAAAGAGGCGGATCAGCGGCTCAGCATCAATTCCTCCATTTAAGCAATTTGCAATTTCTGCCTGGAAGCAGTATAAGAAGAAAAACAGGCAACTTCACGGCGACAACGAGCCTCCATAATAATAACTTTTCATAGCACCCCATTGCCGTTAAGCGCCCTCAGCGACCCGCACAAAAGTGGATATTCCATTCTGCTGATGTATCCTGTTACCCTCCAGCTACATTGATTGCTGGGCAATCTTGTATATGGGAGTGTCCAAAATTAATTAGAACCTATGGGGCCTAGTAAGATTAAGGAATAATTTTAGTTTTAATGCAAGTATTATTCTTTTGTTTTGTGGTTTAAAAAGTGCATGAAGACACTTAGATATTCTTTAAAGATACATTGTTGCAAAAGTTCTCCTAGCTCGACTTTTGCTTCCGGATTCCTTTTCGCTTTGATTGTAAAGAAAACGACGGGGTTCCTTCAGCACAACTCGCTGACGCACTGAGCAGCTCTTCCGTTGGGTACGCGGCGTATGAGTAATATGCCAATTACACATGTTGTGCATTCTTCGGTTGCTAGTTGGAATGGCTGCTCCTTTTTTTGTGTCAACGTTGCAACTATATTTTCCTAAGCTCCTGCAATTTCTATCCGCGTGGGACTATTTGTGTGGGTGTCCGTTTGTTTGTTTTTCTGCAGTGACATTTCGTATACGATATGATAGCCTTATGTGGCTTAGACTCGAATAAACTTGGTAAATTTTTCAAGCCCGTCTAGGTGAAGCTTAAGAATTGGAAAAATAGTAAAATATTTATGTCCGCGTGACTTGGGGGACATAAAAGGAAATCGGATTTAACAGGTAAATAAAATCTGAAAAGCACAATAAAGTGAAATGGTTTAAAGATAGTTTAGAAAAATTTTCTGTTCTGATGTTGTGTTGGAGTTTTCTTTTATTTTGTGTCCCATTAATCTGCATTGGCCTTGCTCCACTGCACTCACTTTTAGCATAACTTTTGGATAAATATTCATAATGATTATGGATGAAAGAAAAATATACGGGTAGCGAAAAGTATTAAAACATGGCTCGTCTATCGCAATTCATTTAATTCCAATCTGCCAACTCAAAATGAAGTGGCTCTGTGCTACTCTGCCATTAATAGTGTCGCTGTCATCCATTTTGGCAATCTATAATCCCTATAAGCGAGATTTGGACTTACTTATCCAAGAGCCCTTCTCAGGACCCTACACAAAAAACGAAGTGGCCTCGGTTGAGGAACTTTGGTTGGACCAAAAGGTTGATCACTTCGATGAGAACAATAATGGAACTTGGAAAATGGTAGGATATTGAATAATTAATTAAAATTTGCATATGATGATTAATATTGAATTTGTAGCGATATTATCAGAACGCAAAGTACCACAATCCCCATGGACCCATTTACATTTTTGTGGGCGGCGAGTGGACCATCAGTCCAGGATTAATGAGCACAGGCTTGACCCACGATATGGCTGTGGAAAACGCCGGAATGCTTTTCTACACAGAACATCGCTACTATGGCCTGAGTTTGCCTCATGGGTAGGCAAAAAAAAGCTAAAAGTTTTTAATTTTAAAAACTTTAAATTTTATTCCACTTAGAAATAAAAGTCTGAAAGTGGCTCAGCTTAAGCAACTCAATCTACAGCAATCCTTGGCTGATTTGGCATTCTTTATACGCCATCAAAAGTCGGTAAATTCGGAACTACAAGACTCCAAAGTGATTTTGGTCGGCGGCTCTTATTCTGGAAGCATGGTGACCTGGATGACCCAAAAGTATCCGGATTTAATAGCTGCTAGTTGGGCTTCAAGTGCTCCCCTCCTGGCCAAAGCGGATTTTTATGGTACATTTTGGTTTGGTTTTATATGGCTTTCAATATTTATTTCTGGTTTTTGTTTAGAATACATGGATGCGGTGGGCAGCTCCGTGCAGCTTAGCTATGGTCAGAATTGTTCCCACCGAATTACGAGGGGCTTTGAATATTTGGTAAAATTGTTTAATGAAAACAAAATTCAAACTTTGCTGAGTAAATTCAATGGCTGTAAGGATTATGATCCTGAAAACCCACTGAACAGGGCAGCTTTTTTTAACGGCTTGGGAAATTATTTTGCCTTGATAGTGCAAAGTTATAGGTGGGTTACTTCATATACAAAATATTTACGCTTCAAGAATTTTTACATTTTCAGAGCTTATATTCCCCGTTTGTGCGAGAGTCTAATGTCGTTGGACTCCAGTGACGAGGTGGCCTTTCTGAAGTTTTTGGAGCTATTATATTCCGAGGGTAGGCGATCCACAGCGTGCCAGGATTTTGGCTACTCCGCAATGCTCCAATTGTTTAGCGAAGAGGAAGATCATGGCTCTGGCAGTGAGTTGTAATATATGTAATAATTTTCAAAGTTTTCTGTAAATCCTTTAAAAGCTCGAGCCTGGTTCTATCAAACTTGCAATGAATTTGGCTGGTATACAACCACCCAATCCAAATCATCACTATCGGCCGCGTTTGCCAATCAGGTACCCCTGTCCTACTTCGAAAAACTTTGCCAGGATGTGTTCGGACCAGAACAGACTCCGCAGAAGTTGGCCCGGGGTATTCGGCAAACGAATTTGGAATTTGGTGGGTTCGGTTTCAATCATAGCGAGCGTTATGCACAAGTAATCTTCACGCATGGCCAGCTGGATCCGTGGCGTGCTCTGGGCCAGCAAACAGGCGGCCAGGCCGTCGTCCTGACGGGTAAGTCCTTGGCAAATGATTGAGAGACTCCGCTTAGTTTTGTGCCACGTGCCACAGGCTACTCTCATGTTGAGGATTTGGCCAGCATCCGGATAACGGACAGCGTTCAGATGAATCTTGCGAAGTTGCGTGTGATGTCCTTTTTGCGACGTCATGTATGAATCTTCACCGGATCCCCACGAATGAATTATTAAATAAACAAATGCGTTGGGCGAGCCCATTTGAAAATGTCGTAGTACCAGTGTCTACTTTGTCCTTTGTCCTTCGGCAAACAGAGATAAATTGAGTGATGCTCGGACACTAAGTGATATGTCAGGTCCGTCTGGTTGGGTAAACAATTCTCTTGTTGATTAGGAAATTGCACTTCTACTTTGGCCTGTGCATTTTCTTGAGTTTGTTTGTCTTGGCTTGATTGGTTGATTAAGGACTCCATTGAGTGGACACCTACGTAGGTCGTTCAAAAGGTGTTTGATGAAATTACGTATTGGAAAGGATTATCTATTTTATCTGTAGAAGGGTTAGAGAGAACACATCAAGAGGTTAAAAAAACTTTACAATATTTGATTACCAGAAAAAACATAAACGCGCTTGTCGAGGTGGTTGACACTTAAGAGAGCTTAGCAGTCCTTTTTAAAAGCCAATCACCAGCTCCTATAAATTAAATGGAAACTTAAAAAACAAGTTAAGATTTCCAAAAATTTTAAATTCGGAAATTTTGCAGCATAAACCCAGTATCTTTCCACCTTCTTCCCCCGGAAAAGCTTTCGTCCATCGTTTTTGACATTTGAGTGCAACGCCAACGCCGGGCGGACCTCGTCGAATCAGCGTCACCTGCTAGTCTGCGTGGGCGCCCAGGACTGAGGCCCGGTTGGCACCAGAAACTATTGGATACATTCACAAAGGACCTAGGGGGAGGGAAGGTAGGAAGACGACTGCGTGGGCAGCTGAAATGGGGCGGGCCGGCTTTTGGAACTCTCTCATCCAGGCATTCTCTCTTTGTCTCGCCACTTGTTATTTACATTTCTTGGACTGTTGCTCAACAATCTCTCTTTGGGTTTGGGCCATGTTTCACCCGCTAAGCCACCGATGCTGTGCGTTGTGCCGCTAATTATTATTTGTTGCTTCATTTATTGGCTAAATTACGAGTAGCCATAAGTGGCGAAAGGATTATCGAGCTGCCTAGGGGTACCAGGATGTATGACAATGCATAAAATATTTTTAGAAAAATTATAAATAAAATATAGGTATCACACCTAATGTAATTTTTTCGGAAATATTTCATTCGTGAGGATTGCTAATCTATTCTTTACAATCTTTTGGTAAGGTGCCTAAACCTTTTATTTTCAGTTTCATCTTCAAGGACTTTAATGGGATAACAACTAAAATTCCCCCAAGTATCTTTCAATCCGGCCCTGAGTATCCAAAAACCCATCACACCAGAGCCATTGAAATATGACCAAGAGCACCTGCTCGAGTCCTCTACGAGTGACATTGAGAGATCAACGGCAAAGGGCCAGAGAGCAGGGGAAAAACTCAACCGCAGAAGGGAAACCAAGGTAGGGGCAGGGCTTTTCGCTCACCGGAAAACTCACTCGCAGCAGGACTCGTGCGTAGGCGGCGAATAAGCTCAATTTGAGCCAAAGTTGGAGGCCTTAAAAGTCGGACCCAAAGCGCTCAACGCTTCAGTCGAGTTTGAAACTTACACTCAAGCGGAGTTGTAAATAGTTGTTCGAGTTGTTGGCTCGTACTCAAACGTACTGTAACACCAAATATCCTTACCATTACACCATAGGCTCTGGAAAATATTTAAGCAAATAAGAATATTGCCAAAATAGGCAAAAAATATGAAATACTTGTATTAGTGATAAAAAAAAGGATTTCCAACTGGCGCGTGTGCGAGTGCTATTAAACTGTTAAATGAGAACTGTGTAAAAAAAAGAAATAATAAAGAATGAAAAGAAAACTCTTGTGGTGGAAGAAAAAACCCAAGGCGCAAAATTCACACGAAATTTGAGCTGAAAAGAAAAATCTGTGTGTGTGGAAAATTGCTTCTTTACGGCTCCGCTCTGTTGCTGTGGCTCCTCATTACCTTTACCTTATACTTGCGTCCCATCCTGGCAGCACTCTTGTTATTTTTTTTTTTGGTGTTTGTGTTTCTTTTTTAAGGCCTAGGCCTCGTTAGTCTTGTCCCGCTCCCATGATTCACGTTGCGTATACGCCGTGTGTGCGTGCGGGTGAGCCAGTGTGCGTGTGCTTTGAATAACAACACGCAGTTGTTGATTGTTCCTTGGCTTCCTTGGCCTGGCCCCGCCGCTCTTCCTTTTATTTCCCTCTGGCTTCTCGGGCTGCTGTTAAATTATGCATTAAGAGCCCCAAACCAGCACAAAGGCTGGTCTGCACAAAAAAACTCAAAAGAAAGGAAATGGTTCAAAAATACTGGCTGCCAAAATGCTGGCACTTCTTTTTTGTTTGGGTGTCCACCCTCGCAGACTGTACAGTAAATTATGCAAATTAATGTTTGTTTGTGATTTGGCTCCCGCTTTTTGGTGTTTCAGTTTAGGCCAAGGTGCCCAAAGAAATATATTTATGTGGCTCTGCTTTAAGATATGATTTAGGATTTTTAATAAGAACAATGGAGAATAATTTTAGTTGATTTATTTTTTTAAATGAGTTCTTGAAGTGTTTCCTCTGAAATTATTTCAATAGACAATATGTGGCCTTCATCCTCGATTGACCTTTTTCACAAATCACTGCCCGCTTTCAAAATATTTTAAAAATTGTTACAAATGGCTCTCAGCACTTATCCCGATGCTCTTTTTACCTTCGCTCCTTACCTTGTCGATACTTATTCCAGCAATTTGCGCCACATTATTGGCCCACATTTTGGCACCTTGGCAATAACTCACTTATTTGGCCCTCTTTCCGTTGCGGAGGGCAAGTTCCTGGATGTGGCCTGCGCTATTTGTCTGTGAGTCTCTTGTGGCTTATATTTACTATTTGGCCAACGTGTCTTAGGAGCCGAATTCTCCGCTTGGTTGCCAGGAAATTGTCGTTGTGCTTGTGCCTGTCTGCCGTCTGCCTTTTTACGTGTTCATTAAATTGCCTGAGCTAAGGCAGAAGTTTCATTTTCAGTCTATTAAAGAATTTTATGAGCTTTATGTTTGTGTTTATTCCCCTCGCAGTCTGCGTAAGTTTATGTTTTCCTGGGAATTGTAATAAGATTTTACGGCTCTCTTTCCTCAAAGGACTAGAATGTCAAACTTCCTTAACTAATTGTGAAAAATTCATTTGGCTTTTCAAAAAACCCCCCCCCAAATTAAAGCCAATCTAGACTTTATAGTTTTGCCATGAAAACTTTTGACTTTGCTTTGAAAAATCACAAAATTTTAGCACACAACTTATCACTCTTCTTAGCTGTGCCTATTGGAATAAATAATATGGGCCAGAATTTTCTAAATTATTCATTTCCTAAAGCTGAAAATAAGAGAGAAGAAGTCGGAAAAGGACTAATTAAAAAGCCTGGCCTGTTGGACGCTCTCCATCCTGTCTCTGACTTTTCCCTTTTCAAAATTTTTGAGGCCAAGGTTCCGTGAGACGACGAGGCAAGCTCGAGCAAGGGTTTGTTTTGTCGTGTGTCCAATTTTGATTGCCCCAAAAAGTGTGCAGCAGAAAGTTGAAACACTTTTTCAACTTTTGCCAGTAACGTTAAGAAAGGAGCAAAAACGGAAGGGTCAACTTGTCCATAATTAAAGGTTCGTCTATGTCTGGAATTCTTTTTATCCCTCCGACCGTCCTGCTTTTAGCTGCCACTTTTGGGCAACACGCTTCGTATGTGTTTTGGGTGCTCGGGAGAGTCATTAAAAGTCGCTCGAGTGTGTGAGCGTTGAAAAACCATCTAAAAATTAGACGAAAAAGGGTTGTTCAACTTCAGCTCCCCATTCCCAGGTCTCCTGTCCCTGGTGTGGACGACTTTCGCTACTAGCCACCCTTCAAAAACACAACATTCCAGCGGAAAATGAGCTGGGCAAAGTTAAAGTTCGTTAAGCTGATTAGAAGACAGTGTCTCGAGTTGCTGGGGCATGTAAATTGCCTCCTGGAGACGTCTGGGCATAATCCCCAACACTTTTGGTGTGAAACTAGAAGACTCAAGGTCCTAATCCAAACGTCCTGGGCAAGTTGCCATAAAATGGGTCTTCAAAAGTACTCCACGGACAACTCAAAGCCAGATTTCATATATCAGAGTATCTACAGTAGTTTAAGATTTGTTTTAACACGCAGTTGGAAATTCTTATAATTGAGATATCAAATTTTTTTTTTCCTTTTTCTATAACCTGTTATGTAATAAGTTAAATATAGTCAAATATTTCAAAAATACTAATTAGATGAACAATTTTCTTCTCGTTCCAGTGTAGAAACATGTAAAAAGTCGACTAAAACATATATCTATATATACACATATAAATATTTGTTTGCCTGCAAAATTATTTTCAACTTTAATTTCGACCAAACAAATATAACAACATTAAACAAAAACGAAAAAAAAAAAACAAAATCGAACGAACGAAACAACCAAACGGGTTATTGCTTGCATGTAGTCGTAGTACCAAGTAGAAAACGAAACTTTTAGAAACGTCAAGATAGGGATTCGGATTAAAGAAGAGGTCGCAGCTAATTTCTGGTGCGTATAACTCCATTAGAGGACGATTAGCATACTCAAGGACAAACGGACGGACGAGGAGCTAGGAGCTTGGAGCTCGGAGCTCGGAACTAGGGGCTGACGTGCCAACGATAATTAAATAAGCGGCCAAGAAGCACGGAGGATAAGTGGCCCAGGACACTGGTCCTGCAGTTGGCAACTAAAAGCAAAAGCGAACCAGAAAACTTCATCAAAACACTCGGATAAAGTGGAAAACGTGTGCGTGCGCGTGTGAGAAAACTTTCTGCAGGGCGAGCGATTTAATTCCGACCCTCTGCCAGTCGGCCAGTCCCCCAGCCAGCTGGAAATGTCCATGGCCATGGACCATCATCATCAACATCGCCATCTCAACATGTGGCCCACGTTTCCCATCTGCCTGCTGCTTCTCCAGGCGGCCACCAGCACGATGGCCATCGATTTGAGCCGCTTGTACGGCCACATGGCCAATCCCATCCAGAAGAGGAGCGGTAAGTAATCGAACGCAACTCCATCTATTTGGTTTGGGAATCTCATTAGGGCAGCCCACCTGGCGGATACGCAATTTTAGGCAATGGGCATCTGCCGGGGATGTTTTAAAGAATAGTCTCAAAGGGAAAGGTCTTTGAATTATTTTTCAACGTTGTGTAAGCCATCCAGCCATACACAGATTGACCTTCATTCTCCCTCTGGGGGACCTTTGGTAACATTTTTCAACCTGCTGCACAACTTATTTTCCTCCTTTTTTTGCGGCTCTCACTATTTATTGCCTTACTTAGACCCTAATGCCAATAAATACATTCTCACTATTTTTTCCCTGCTGCTCGGCGCAGGCATTTTATTATTTTATTTACCTTTTGTTTATTTTATACTATTTATTATGAAAACAAACTGCATAATGAATGTGCACCTGTTTTTTTATTTATGACCAGTGTTCTCTCATTTTAGGCTTTAAAAAAATATTTAAAGAAAACTTGCCTGTTTGCGTGCTTACAGGCAGCCCCTCAACCGATGGAAATCTCCTTTATTTTCTTTAGTTTATGTAAATTGGAATTTTAAGGCAGTTGGAGAATTTTTAATTGCGCTTACTAGGCTGGGTTTTCCCAGTATTCAAGTTCGTGATGGAATTTCCGCAGCCATTCGCTCAATATTTGTTATATAATTTAATTAACACCCGTATACCACAAGTTATGGGTATGGTTTGTGGCTTTTAAGAAATGGAACAAAATCTGCCAATTAAATACATGTTACTTCATTAGGTTAGCATCGCTTCACCCATCATATTTACCCAAAAATCTAATTAACTGAAGCGCGGCAATAAATTGGACAACAAATGCTTGCCAACTTAATTTGCGGCATTATGGCCATGGCCCACGAACAGACTTCAATTAGTCAGTACCCCAATTGACCATTAATTGTCGCTTGCCATCTCATGAATATTCAGAGCATAATTATTCTATTATACTAATTTCAGTAAACGCTCCATTAACCGCTTAAAGTTTATTTTCCTGGTCAACTGATATAGAATCTGCAATAGTGTTTTAAATGCGATTTTATTGTATAAATCCAATGCATTTGACACTTGAACATACAGTACCTTTTCTTTTGCCTTTAACCCTGTGTCAGTTACAGTAATTGTATTTTGGAAAAAACTCAAGAAAACCCATTTTCACGCTGCTTGGTGAATCACAAAAATGTCAGCCGCAAAGTGGCCACAGGAGCCAATGAAATTTATGAGTGGAATAAAAAAAAAGGATAAAGAAAAGGATTATTCTTTAAAATTATTTTGAGGATGTTTTAATGATATCCTTACCGATACGAATATCCTCGAATAACTTTGTCCCTAATTATCTCAGCCTGTAATCTTCTTTTGGAATGTTAAAAGTTACTTCTGCTAAGGAAGTACAATGCCACAAACTTTTAGCCAAGATAAACCTTAGCCAATTTGTCGCCACTTCCTCCCGTGGATATTTCTTTTCTGAAAAAGCAAGCCACGCTTGCAGCTCACTGTGTAATAATTTTAGTTTTCCTGCCAGTGACAACATATTTTATGCTGCAATTTTCCGTAGAAACTTGCTTACTTTACTCTGCTTTTGGCTGCTGGTTCCAGTTTGGTTTTGGCCAGTGCCACTCCGTTTATTTATTGTGGCCTGCTTTTGTGCTCGGTGGCATTCTGGCTTTGTGACGAACGGTAACGAGCGTGGGTGGCTGGCCAGGCCAGGTCGTAATTTGCTGGTCAGCTGGGGCCGGGTGGACGATCCTGTGGCAGTTAATAAATGCGCCACCGCTTGACCGCCACAAAAGCTGCCCGGGAGCACTCGGAAAAGCTGCACCAAATGACAGCTTGAAAGGGTTTGGCGGAAGTTCCTTTTCCTTTCCATCACAAAAGCATTCATTACATTTTTTTATGGTTGCTTTGATTTTTTTTAGCTTACCACGCAATCCTTTTGATGGGGTCGGAAAGATGATTGACATTATTTTTAATGAAATTTCAACGTGAAGGACTTTTTTCTTTCTGTTTAGTCACTTACGATTTGCAGAGATTCTGTTTTGCAGAAATTTTCTTTGAAATTAAATGAGTTTCAGTTCTACTGCCTTGGATCAGAACTTAATTATTGGAAGGTCTTCCTGCTTTTCTAAGAAATACATTTTCAGATCTGTGTTCCGCCCAGACATGTGTTTTTCTACCGAGCTCGTTTAAATATTAATTTTGTAGCGGTGCCTAGGGTATCATAAATATTAACCGAGTAATTCAATTAGCTTTACGAGAGCGCCCTGTCCAGTTGGCTGACATAAATTATGCAATATTTGATTTGTTTCAGCTAATGTGGTCGGTGGGAGAGGCAACTAAAAATCGTGGCAGTTGGCTGGGGCATTGAATTTGTGCCTGGTTGTATTTTCCTTGGCTTTTTCACTGCATCTGCCTGATGTGCGGCGACTTAAGCGGCAACAAATGGCAAACAAAACGTAGCATACTGGCTGCCAGCCGGCGGAGCGTGCCGCACATGCAAATGGACTCAGTATTGCCACAAGTACACATCTACCCTTGCCTGCAACGCAAACTCTGGGCTCTGAGCCAGCTGCAGGACATATTGGCTTACAAAACATTCCGTGGACTCTGCCATTTCCACTTACGTGATCGCTTCGGCTGCAGCTGCCACAAAATGAAATTTCCATAAAAACGCCGGAGTGCCTCAGAAAGAAATGACTGAAATGGGTGAATGGTGGCCCAGTCCCAAAATCAACAGAGCGCTATGGCAAAAGCTGAAACGTGATTACGCCTCGCATTATGGCCAACAAAAGCATTTGGCATTCAAAGCTGCAGCCAACTAGACTTCAGTTAGCATTAACTTCCTCTCCAAATAGCATTTAGGCCAACCGAAAGCCAAAAGCCATGGACTTGAACCTGAAACTCTGAATAATTTTATTAGCAACTTTTGGTTCCGACTCCCTCGACCATGTTTCTTAATTAATTTTCTTGGTCGGACTTTTGCGTGGTCTCTAAGTGGTTATAAGCAAGCTGGGAAGTGAGAAATTTTAGCTGGGGAAACTTTTAATGGAATTTTTCCGACGGATTTTAATTGCCACCAAAAGGGCGCTTCCAAGGGATGTTATAAAAACTGAGAATAATAAAGGTTTAGTTTTAGGTGGGTGCTACATTAAGGAACATGTATCTTAATAATTTTTTAGTTTATGCTTCAAAGTATTTACAATGTATTTTAGCTTTCAATTAGAGTTAGAACATCTTTGTCCATCTCAAAACAATCTTTTTGTTTTAACAAGAAAATTAAACTGTCAGTTAAAGTGCTTTTGCCACAAAACCCTCTTGGAAAAATCGAATTATTTATTGGTATTGCCATTGCAAGTCTGTAGTCGCTGGCATAAATAATAGCTATATAAATTCCGAGAAATGTGAAACCAAAGGCGAAACCAAATACGTTTGAAAATATTGGCTTGGACAGAGCAATTTTGTGGGTAATTTACAAAAGCCATAAAAATGTGTGCCGAAAGGTAGGGAAATCGAAATCTAAAGATGCCTCAGATGCAATGTATCCGATAAATTTAATTATGCTGACAGTTTAATTATGGTTGATTGCCAAGATTTATATCGTACCCGGTTCCGGGGAGCTCCAAAGTTTGCAAACTCGGCCACTGATATGCAAATCTATGAATATTTACTAGATGTGCGTATGCAAATTGATGGGCTGTGAGGTCGCAACGCCCGCTTATTGCGCCCTTGTGGGTCACGTATACGCCGTGCGGGCCACGGACAGCGATCAATCCACACTTTGTCCCCATTAACTCGGTAAACTGTCAACTGGTTTACCGAATATAATCCAACAAATGGCCATCATCGCGCTGTGCGACAGCAAAATGGCTTTCCATGCGCCCGAGTATGTGGCAAGGTCATTAAAAACTGTGTTGCGACAGAATCCATTCCGATATAGTGCACGTCGCTTTTGTGTTCAAAATGAATATTTTCATCGCGAACATTTAAACGAACATGGCTTTAATTCTCAACTTGCCCTTCTTGTCCTGGCAATCGATGCCGATTGATTTCCCCTCGTTTAACGTAAAATTTAACACTCCCCCCCCCGATTATCAATTTGAACATAAAAATTTTTATTCATTCCGTCCCGCCTTAAAGTCTCGTTGCTCCAGACGGAGACGCATCAAGTCATAACTAAATGTATTTTCTTTGGCATTTTTGTATGTTTTTACGGCGTCATAATATTTTATGATGCTCGAAGAGTAGGGCAAGTTTTTCTCGGTCGACTCTCCCAGATATACAAAATATTTGTATTATATCTTGTCAATTTTTACGGCTGCGTCTGCCGCGAGAAAGTGTTTTTCCTGCCTCGGCTTGGCATTCAGTCTTGGATCATTTATTATTTATTTGCTGCGCACTAAAAGTTGGCCGTGCCTCGGAAAAGCGCAGAAAACGAACTAGTGTAATATGCAAAAAGGAAAACAGGACGAAAATAGTTGCCTACTTGAGGGTAAGGTTGGTCAACCCGGGCCGCGTTACTCATACGCCATGTTGTACGTATAAATAGAAGCAATCGGTTGGCTCGAAAAACATCAGTCTTTCATTACCAAAGAGGCCGTGGAAAGGGTTCGGCAGCCAGACAGGTAAACTCAAATTGGTTTATTGATTTTCCAGCCAAGGAAAGCGAAAAAAGGGAAATAAGTTTGGCGGGCAGGGCACTTGAACTTGAGGGAACTTGAAATCGGGCCCTTTTGACCGACGGATGAGTAATGGCAAGTTTTATTCGCAAAGACCCGAGCTGTTGAGTTGCAAACTGCTTAGCATACTTACACATTTATGGCCAATGCCAGGCCAAGATATTACTTGAAATGGCAGCCAACAGCAAATGCACAATACATAAAATCCAATTTCGAGCAAGGAAACATTCTATATGTAGTTAGATGCATACAAATGGAAATCCAAAGGCGGCATAGAACAAGATTTGAGCCAAGGATATACCGAATAGAAATGGGAATGGGATTGGCATAACCGCAGATGCAGTTGAAGAGCTTTTCGCAGGGAAATCCACTTGTGACTTGCGCGTTCCTTAGGTTTTAGCCCAGTCGTCTCTGGCCATTTCGCCATCACAGCTTTGCATATCCCATTTGGCGCAATGCGAGTGTAAGTGCATGTCTGTTTGCTGGGAAATGGCAACATCACGTGCCCCTGTTCCAATATTTTGCATTTGTGCACTTTACACTCTGACCGCAATTTAAACATGCCCACACTTACCTGATTTTACCCTCAAATTGATTTGCTTACAAAGAGAGGTAGGTGTGTGGTGCAGGAACGCAAAGTAGCTGCGCGAATTTGCGCGAGTTTTCCAGGCATTTTCACAATTTTCACTCATGTGCAAAGTATGCATAACATTTAACAGAACGCTCGTGGCATGTTTGAAAAAATACCGTGACTTTGCTCATGACATAAACCGAAAATAAAATTTTCCCCTTTTCGAAATTGGGTTTCTTGGGTGGAATGCAAAAAAGTTTTACGCCACTTGACACTTCCAAGATAATTAGTTAAAAGGCCTTTCATTACATTGGAGTCCCAAATAGGTGTCTGAATATTTTCCATCTTACGGTTATTGCCAAAACTTGCTAAAAAAGTCTGAAAATTAATTTTTAAGACTTACCATCTACTCTGTCCACCTGAATTTCATTAGATAAGTGTTCATTAAACCAAATGGCCTGCTCTTTAAGGCTTAGTTCTCCGGTTATCTGGTTAATTGAATTGGTATTTTGCGATCACAAAAATATCCAACCCGCTGAATAATTCAATAACGAATTGAATTGCGGAAAGTTTTGCGCCATCCGCTTAAAATTCGAAAATATAATTACCCGAAATAGGCATCATCCATTATTTATGGCTCGGCCTGAACCACAAAGCATATTTAAATTTATTTGAAATTTGTTGCGGTCGGCAGGTGTAAATTTTCATTGGCTTTGTTCCGTTGTTATTTGTGCGGTCTGTCGATGATTTTGGCCCACTTGATTATACCACCAACTAACTGGCAAATACGGGAATGCGGTTCAAACTCAGCTTCAAATCAAAATACCCAAATGGAAAACAGAAAATGGTAAATGGAAAACGGAAAACTTTTGCCCAGCCACATGCCAACATTGTTGGCCAAAGCTGTGCGTTTATGTTGGAGAGTGAAAATTGAGTGAAATAAACAAAGGGAAAGTTTTCATGCATTCGCAATGAACAAAACTTTTTTCAGGGGAAGTGAAGTTCAAGGCAGCCGTCCTCGCTCTGATGGTCAACATTTTAGCATTTTTGCACATTTCGTTCAGGTGAGAGATGCTTACCTCCGGCGATCATGGACACTTACCACTTTCCGCCCCGTCTTCCCACCTGTCTGTTGCTTTCAAGGAGTACTCAGTAAGTGCACCCAAGTTATCGTTTGCACGAGCTCCAACATAAGCCAGATTAAATGTATTTTCCATTACTGTTGCATGCCAGTTTCGGTCAAAGTAGACACACAGAGAGACAGTGGCAAGTTTGCCAGTCAGCTAGCCAGCTCTCCAGCCAGTTGCCAAGTGGCCGAGTGTGCTGGTGAGCTGAAAAGTGGCTGAAATGGCAGGTGTTCCTCTCAAAAGCAAACTCAATTTGCCATCTTTGCATACGGTAGTTGATTCAGTTAATTTGGCATTCAAGATTTGGTTTTTGGATAGATGGACTATGAAAGAGTTGGCCAAAATCCTAATAATCCTGGCTAATGCATATTCTCTTAAGTATTAGAACTTGAGGCCTTTACAAATTATTAATTTATTTCTACCCTTACTCTCAATTTACAATAAATAAAAAAGAGATATAATGATTGCGTTGACGCACTTGTTTTTTAGATTTTTATAAAATTATTAACGATTGATCCAATCCTGATTGCACTAAAAATTTTGCAGACTTTTAGCCAGATGGGGAGAGGCAAGTTGGGCCTAGGCTTCGGGCTCGACGTCGGCAACCGAACCCTGTTTGGTGGCCGGAGGAGAATTGTTGGTGGTCTCGGCGGCAGTAGCCGGAGCAGTGGGCTCCTGTTCGGGAATGGGCTTGCCGCCCAATGCAAGGAGGGTGTCCACAGGAACCTCTTGGGCACGCTCGTCCTCCTCCTCGCCAGCCTCGTCGCCCATTTGCTCATCCGGCTCTGGCGGCAACCAGCAGGTGCCCTTGACCAAACGGTCCTCGATCTCTGCGATCTCGTTTTTGTAGTACTGATTGAAGTCCGGTCGCTCCCAGATGCTCCTGACCCACTGTAGGTTGAAGTCCATTTTGGCGCAGCAGCAGAACTTGCGCGATTTGTGGCACTTGGGGCACTTTGCCGGCGGACGGGCTGGATGGGTGTACTGCTGCTTTTGCTTCTTCTTGCAGCAGTAGGGGCACACGTGCTTGGGCTTCTTCTTGGTCGTATTACAGGGCACCGGCTCCTTGGCGTAGACGAGATGGCCGCGCTTCTTGGCGCAGAAGCAGCAGTTGCAGTCGTCGCCCTCCGGCTGCCGCTTCCGGGTCTGCATGCGGTCGTAGAACTTCTTGTAGGTGATCTTGATCTTGGCCTCGTAGGCCAGCTGGTCAGCGCAGGAAAGCCCATCGAAGCGGGCGTAGCTCTCCGCCGACTTCCGCGCCGCGTGCACCCAAACGCACTCGTCGTTGTAAGAGGGTCGGCCCTGGTCGTCGTAGGTCAGCTCCGCCTTCGGCTCGTAGTAGAAGGCCTTGAAGCCCCGCTTGATGATCGCATAGGCCAGGTGGGCCTCCACCTTGTTCATCAGCGACTTTTTTCCCAGCTCGTGAAAGAGGTCCTCCTTCCGCAGCCGCTTCTTGGGGGTTGTGTCGATGCAGTAGCACACCTGGTCGTAGTGCAGGAAGGCATAAGTGATGATGTCCACCGTCGACTTGGCCTTGCACTCGTGCATCCCGCAAATGATCATTATCTGGGCCAGGGTGTTGGCCAGGTCCAGGACGTTCTCCAGGAAGATCGAGCTGGCGTTCACCTCACCCAGGCACTTGCACTGTGTGTGCTGGTCGATGATGCCCAGTGGGGCATGCCGCTGGCACTCCTTGTGCTGGCAGTTGTTGCGGCACCGAAAGTCTGGCATCGCATGGTGCGCCTGCATCGTGACTCTGAATCGGACTTACTAAAAACTGGTGTCTGGTGTGTGGCGCCTGCTCCCACTACTTTCCACATGGAATTTTTAAATTTTATTTTTTTTTTTGATTTTGTTAACTGTTGCTAAGTCGAGACAAGCCAAATGAATGAATAAAGAACGGAGAAATGAGGCTAAAATTACAAAAAGATTCATTTCAGAGGTTGCTGGGTTGTCACTTAACATAACAAATATTTTGGCCAGAAATTCTATTCCAGAGGGCACGAAAATCCAATAAAATAAATAAATATCCATGGGATAGAAGGTCTATGAACCTGAAAGAGTATATGAACTGAAACAAATTTATTAATAATTACAATAATTTAAGAAAATACATTTTGAGTTACCTTATGTATTCGAAATCGTAATCCATCACTGGAATACCAATGCTGTTTTTTGGTTACTTTCTTGGCTTAGTGTTTCAAGAACCAAATAGCATTCGATACGGCATGGATTGTTTGAGTTGTGCTTTCCTTTTGTTTGCCCATTCCCTGTAGACGTGTATAGGTTTCCGAGGAACAAATATTTGTTCAGCCAACAGGCCATGGAAAAGCGGCAGTGGAAAATTTCAGAGACTCACCGCATAGGCGAAAATTTATTTATTATTTTTATTCCGTTTTCTGCCTTCGTAATGGATGTCCTTTTTTCGGGGCTCGGTTGACAGACATTCGTAATTGTTGATGACGGCCCGAAGTTTATGATTCGGGGTCAGGCTGGGGGATTCAAACCCACACTCGCAGTACATACATAAATAAAGCATGGCATCCGGCTCGAACCGAGCTCAGGACATTCCCCAGGGAGTTGTCAGCGCAAATACATCAAAGAATTTATTAGACAAGCTTTGCCATATCCGTTTCCTGTTGTCGCCAAATACCTCGGGAACTGGAGACTCATCCAGTACAATTTTTCCAAATGGCAATGGAAATGAAAACAAAAAACTGCTGACAAATGTAAATCTTCATTCAGGGAAGATGACCCTTTGTATCTGAGATATTGTTGCACTTTAACCTTTTGGCCATAAGTGTAAGTATGCTGGCTTAAACCCCAGCTTATATTGGCGCGTAAAAGCAGCTTAATCTCGGGCAACGTGCTCTGAAAAAAGACAGAGTCGTAAAAACTTTGCTTAACTCATAATGAAATAGCAGCAGGGCGCGGGCCTGAAGATGAGTGATTTCAATCCAGGCCAGATATCTCATCCGCGCAGTGCCGAGATACCTCATCCTTCTCCTGGCTGTTTTTTCTGTTTATCTAAAGTGCAACTACGTAACTCATAAAACTTGAGCAATCGCGCATAAATCTTGGCCAGACAAAATGGCCAACTGTTGGCCGAGTTTCGTTGTCCAGAGTCCTGACTCTGATGGGGGGGGGTGTGGAAAAATTTTCTTGGGGAAAGTGCCGGCTAGAATAAAATTTCTATTGGCTTCCCTAACAATAAAAGTTGACGTCCTGGAACGGACACGTGGCGCTGGTCAGGTAGCAACTGGAGAATCTGTCTGGGGATAAAATTTCACTCAGGCATTTTAGGGCTTCAGCAAAAGAAAGTAAAATGAATTGACCGATGGTATTTTTTTCATAAGTGCTTTAAAAAAGAAATGTTGAGTCCTAAAGTTTCTTAAGTTCTTGTTATTCGTGTATCAAAATATTAATCAGCCAAATGTCGGAAGCATTCAAATATAAGCCTTCATAAGCCGCATTTATAACGCGACTAGACTGCTGGCACGTACCTTAAATTAACACCTGGTAGTCCCACCACACACTCGCCAGTAACGTCCACGTCATTCTCATAAAACCCTTTAATGGCTATTCAGACACCAATTACCATTAAAAACGGACAACCTCGCTCGAAACGTATACACGTTCGGTCGGAACATGAAAAAGCGGCGGAAAAAATAGCGAAAATCAATATATATATGTGAATGCCGTGCGAAGGGCTCAAAAACGCAGCTGAGATTGAAAAATCCTCAACTCGATGAGCGTTTTTTAGCTAAGCGACTCGCCATGATTTTTTGGTTTTTTCTTTGGCTCCTTCCACTTCTAGTCCTTGGACGTGCCATGATTTATAATTTCCTGCGAACGGCCAAGGGAGAGCGACTTAAAAGTTAAATAGTCGAAGGTACCTATTCCTCATACTCGATAAACAATGCGAAAATCTGTTGCCTAAATTGAGTGAAGAAGGTTCATAACTTCTGATCTAAAAGACTGCAAGAAAATAGACTGTTTTTTGGGCTGTTTCAGTCTTGAATTTGATTCATAAACCAAAAACCTGAACCGTCAAATCTTTCATGATAGTATACGTGGGATTTCCTTCAAAACCTTAGTTATTTGCTTGAAAATTAATAGCTCACGTCTCTTTAATTTTCAAAGAGATATTTTGTAACTCCCTTTAGCTAATAACTTTTCCCAAAAAGAGCATCACCTCTTCGTCGGGCGATGGCTAATTTACTCGAGTACTGATTTTGTGCGGCTTTTTGGTGTGCGTGGCCAAATGGCAGGACATAAATCTGCAAATGTGATAAATGGTTATAAAGCCAAGCGTAATGTTTATTTAAAATAATGATGATGATGAGCAGCTGCAGCTGGTGGCTGTTACATCAGCCTCCTCCATTTTCACGAGCTCTCCCCCTTTTTGGCCATAACATGAGTATGTAAATTGCCATGGACCTTTGATGGCTGTCCAAAGAAGTAAACTGGCATTGGGTACGGCATGTGGCAGGAGGCAAGAGGCAAATGGCAAGTGGCTCTTTTTAGCTCGACAGACAGCTGTTAAAGTTCAGCTGTCAATTATTCATAAAATTGCGCATACGTCTGCACTCATTACGCATACGCCGTGTTGCCATTGGCTCTTATTTTTCTGCGCTTTTTGCGTGAGCTGGAATTGCTTTCATTTCGCTGGCTCGTATTAATTTGATTTATATAGACACAGGCATATCTGTAGAAATACACACATGCGACATTTGTCCTTTTTATTCAGCTGCTTATATTTATTGCGTTTTATGGTTCTGCTTTGGCATAAATTTGCATAATTGAGCTACAGACGGCTCCGGCTCCGACTCCGTTTGAATGTCTGATTTATCGTCTCGGTTGAAAATTTTGCAGCTAAGTTCTTATAATTTCGTGCAAATGTTTCCATGGAATATTCTTGTCTAATTTACGCACGAAATCGAAAAACTTTGCTCTAAGTTTGCGGCTGAAAGATTTGCATAATATTTATTTTGCCCACTCTGATGAAAACAAATGAACATCCTGTGCTTTTATTTGTCCATTAGGCGGGCTGTGGAGCTGTACACTTGCTAAGCTTACCTTAAATCTCAGCTCCTTTAGGTTGAGTTGCTCCTGTAAGCGTAAGGGGGCACCTACTTTCCCATTTCTGGATCTCCTTGAAATTCTTTTCATTGGCCAAAAACTCCCTAGCCAAGCGCTGTAACCAAATTGGCATTTGTAAGAATTGCTATATCTATTTGTTACATACTTGAAAGTCCTCTGGCAGATTCTCAATGGTCACATCGTGTTCCAGATGCTCGCTGAGTATCTCGTCCACTCGGGTCAGCCAGGCCTCAAACTGCACAATGCATTTCTCGGACTGTTCTGCCTCGTTGACCTTTTATTCCAAGAGTTCGATGCGATTTTTGACCTGTTGCTGGAGCTGAGTCCACCTTTAAACAATGTCGTCGATATCCCGCCTCATGGAGTCGGCCATGAATTCGTTGTCAATTAGCTCGTTGCCAATTTCCTGAATCTTGTCCAGATCCTATCAAAAATAAAGAATTTTCCAGACCCTATCAAAAATAAAGAATGTTAAAAAAAACAAGAAAGGAAAGCTTACCTAAAACTACTACAACAACTAAAACTTACATCAAAAACTTAAACCAACAAAAAAAAAAAAACAAGAAAAAATATAATAAATAATAGTTTTCCCGATATTTTGACCCAGCTTAAGTGCAGGCTATGAGAATCGAGGAGGAGGGCACCAGATTTAATTTAATTATTTTAAAAAAAGAAAAAAAAAACAATAATTAATAATTTTTCTGATTTTTCGAGCCTGCTTAAGTGCAACCTATGAGAATCGAGGAGGAGGGCACTTCTTTTTAATTAATTATTTTTAAAAATTTTATTAAATAGTTTCCAAATTAAGCCATCTTCTGGAATGTTATCATACTCAAAAAAAGGATACAATTTTATCCTTCACTAGCAGTACCCTGCCACGTTTCGCTGTGGCATATTGTTGTTGCACGCATAAAAAATAAGTCAAACAAAAAAGAATAATTTTCAAATTAATTAAATTCTGTAATACTTGTGGGTATACAATATTCTTTGTTTCTCCTCCTTAATCATTCATTATTATTTCTGTATTTTAGTACATAGGTTGCTCTTCACTTAAGCACCTTGTGATACACGACATTTTTTGTTTTATTATCAGGCGCAAAAACAAACAACGCAGATGGTCTTCCGACCCGTGAACATGCCACGTATAATTGACCATGGGAAAAACATGAATGTTCTAGATTTAAACCACAAACTTTTAAGGATTGGCCTTGTGATTTGTTGATTGTCATGGCAAATGCAAGACGTATCGGAAATTGAAGTCTTTTAAATTCAAACGGCATATCGGTTGGGATCATCGGGATCCTCGGAATTAGAACTTCCTCACCTTTGAATTTTCCTATCATTATCGTAGCGTAAATTACATTGTTCATCAATTTACTAACCACCAAACGCGTACCGTTGCACAGTTTTGGTTGGTTTATGTTTCGAAGCATGATTACTACGGAGCCAACCTTTAGGCGTAAATTGTGCGGTGGTAAGCCAGGCACGTCCAAAGAGTGTATCTACAAAATAAAAACCAGGTTCTTTAACTACATTCTATGTAAGTACAAAAATAAATACCTTAAATGTCGGATTAAAACCTCCTTCTTCGATAATGTCTGCCCCAAATGACGTCATTTGGAAACAACTATTGTATTTTCGAGTATTTGCAAGAAAGTGGCGTGATTCTTGTGTTTCGCCGCAAAGCAATGAATACAATGGCTCTTGTGGCGGAGTCAACACTGGCAATTTCACTTTACCATTAACGCAGCATAATCCAGGCGTTTCTCCGGAAAACTTTAATGCACCACAATAC